ATACAATTCTTACCACGGTATACATGGCATTCTACACCCCGCGTTACACCGATATTGACCTGGCGATGTTGGCCTCAAGGTCGCGGACTCGACTCGACTCGACAAGGTCGCAGCCGCTCGAACGCAGGCTGCTTGACTAGCTACCCGGCAGACCAGCCTGCACATGCAAAGCACGCGCAAGGCATCCATGACGAGACGGTCGAGCGGGGCCGCGCGTTACGCCACCGCTACGTGAGAGGGCATCGACTGGCGCCTCAGCGCAGCGGTCACACCGCGACGCTCCCACGGCTACCAGCCGAGACTGTCGGTGGACAGCGAGAGCGCGCAGCGGCGCCGGCAGTGGGGCCCACGACCCCCCCCCCCCCCCCTCTATGTGAGATTCGCCAGCGCGGCGGCGGGGCACGCGCTGCCACCGCCGCCGCTGTGACCGCGCGCTGGGGGTCACGCCCGCCCCTGTTCTCGGGTACCGCCGAAGCGGTGCGGTCATGGGGGACAGTCGACGAGGCGCCGCGGCTGGCGGCGGCGCCGGCACGCGCTGCCACCGCCGCCAGCTGTGACCGCTCGCTGGCGGTCACGCCCGCCCCTGTTCTCGGGTACCGCCGAAGTGGTGCGGTCATGGGGGACGGTCGACGAGGCGCCGCGGCTGACGGCGGCGGCGCGGCGGGACGCCGGCAGCGATGCGGACACGGCACACAACACAGGAGGCTGGCACGGGGTGGGAATAAGGGACGAACCAGGTGAGGACACGTGACGCATATGTTCGGAAAAGAAAACATAACTATGCAACAGGCGACGAAGGTGGCTTCCTTGTCGACCTAGGTCAGATTCGAACACTCTCATGGTGAACACATGGCCTCGTTCCAGGTCACGGCATAGCAGATCAGGGTTGACAGCGTCCAGCTGCCGACTCAGCTACGCACCTTCATCAGAAAGGCACGACCAGAATCGGCTCGGCGGCGGCACGCCACAAAGAAAGCCGGTCGACAGGAAGGCTTCGTTATTACAATCAGCCTTTCGATTCCATAAATCTTACGGTGCTCAATTATCGACGTACACCGCAATGGGCCAGCGGAAGAATGTGGCACTTACTACAAATTTCTATCCGACCGAGCCTGACATTAAATTGGTGACCTCTGACCCAGGCCGGGGTTCCGGGCGCACGGTGGGCCACCTTTCACCCTCGTGACCCATACGCGGGCACGTCAAAACGCGGCCGGGATTGACGATGGATGGACGTCTGTGTTGATGGACTGGACGTCCGCCGTACGACCGACAACGCAGACGTGTCCGTTCCAGTTGCAACACGCCGCGGTCTGGCTGATCAATGTGGCGTTAACGAGTGCGGACGTCGCTGAGGAACTGCGACGATTACTCCCACGACTTAAGCTGCGGGCATGATGCCTCCGTTTGGATATGTAGCAGTTTGGGAGCAATTGATAGCATTCAATTTGAGACAGGGAATTATACAGCACGGAGGGTTATGATCAGGTACGGGCAGGCCTATGCATTAAGATAACCATAACATATTACCGCCACACAGGGCACTTTGACAGGGCACTTCGACATTCCGACGATCCACACTGGTCATAACTGAGCTACTTGCTCGCTTTTCCTCGGCGGGAAAGCCACATCCTTTAGACGTCTGACCACTACATACTACAAATCGTGTGGGTCGCAGCCATTTTCCACGGATCTTTCATAACTGTTTAAGCCGTCGCATAGGTTGATGTTCACATTAATATTAAAGGCTTCAAATACCCGAGCTGAAAGCTAAGTTATTACGAATAAAGGAATGCATCAAAATGTATGTTGTTCCAGGCATTGCTGCCAGTCATTACATTTATCTTGTCCATTAACCACGTAACACGTTCGTTGAGGTTTTTACTTTCTTTCCTTGTCGAGTGTGAATGCTTAGTCTGAAGACTCTGGCTCATCCGCACCTTAACACTCTCCACATAGCAGCCACCGTTGGTGGGGTGGGGTGGAGCAATATCATGACTGCGCGGGCTCCCGCTAAACGAACGGTTGCGCTCCGCGGTGTCACGATCTGGCTGCGGGGGAGCTGGGGGATGATGTTTACCTATAAGCGGAAAAGCTGAGCACCAAATAAATATTGGAATAAAAGAAGTCGGAAAAGGAGATCGGCTGAAAGGCCACCTATCGCTAGCTCAGTATCACCCAGAGACCGGACTGATTATGTGAGCTGCATGTACAACGAACATGCTGTCTGCTTCCGGAAGCAGGAGCTGACAGACCTCCTGCCGCTGTATTTGGTGTCTCCCTGAAGTATCTCGTCTCCAGTGATCTCCGCGGCGCGCGACGGGTCGCCGCACTCTGGCGGGTATAGCGGCCGCGGTGAGCCTCTCCCCCCCCCCCACGCCTCGTCCAGTCCGTTCCCTCCACTCCCGGTGCCGACTCGCCTCCCGGCTCCAAAACGTTTCTCAGTTTCATTGGATCCCCTGACTCTCCTCCATTGTTCTGGCGCAGCGCACGTCTCCAGTGCGTTTCCAGACCCGAAACTGGCGAGGCTCCGGCACCTGCCGCGTCCCCGCCGGGCCTCCCCACTCGAACGCGCGAGACGAGAGTCGGCGGGCGACGTTCTCGGCGTGACGCGACGAGACTGGCGCACCGCCTGAATAGAAACGCAGCGACGATGTCATAACGGGGGCCTTGGCCCCGTCGGTCGGGAATGCCCCGGCTCGCCGGCCGGCGCGTCCCGATCATCCGAACAACTCGGAGAAAGCCGGAGGCCGCGTGTTTTTGTGGGCAGCGGGCCGTTGTTACCTGGCGCTGTGCAGTGCCAAGACGTAAGCGTGCGGTGCGCAGTGGTGAGCAAAAGCGCGTCCAAGACGAGCAGTGTGCCCATTCAGGCAGAATTGTGAACTTTCCTCGGCATGGTTGAGAAAGACTTGTCTTGAGCATTTTATGTTACGTGCCAATGCAGTCTGAAATTAGCCGGTGTCTTAGTTTTTTTATAAATTAGATCCGAACCCTTTGAATGGATGGATTTCTGGGATCAGCGTCCACGCTAAGCAGTGCTGTTGTGTGAGCCCTGACCCCACCATCCGATCGCGCAATTCCAGGCAACGGCAGAATTTAGTTACGCAAGCTTAACGTGCCGCAATGCTCCGCACGGTCCGTCCTGCCCTTTGACGTTAACTGACCTTTAACGCGACCGCTGCCACCGGCCGCAGGCCATATCTGCCAAGGGCAAATAGCGAGCGCCCTAAGGCGACTCGAACCCACCCTGCCATGGGCGGATGGATCGGAATGCAGGCTCTCTAACCAACTGAGCCACCGGGATGGACTAGCTGGCGCAGAAAGCAAACGCCAAATGCCAAACAGGTCTTTATCTGACCGTGTTGTACCTGTCAACGGATCACATGACTTACGTTACACATCCACGGAAAAGATCACACCAAACATGCGAAAAAATAGTCACAGTAATATCTTTCTTCATCAGGTGAAGCGTGATCATGATCATGAAGTGCGAAGTTCATCAGGCGCACTCGCAAGCCTTAGGAACGGAAACCCCGGCGCCCGATGTTGCAGGCTCCGTAGGCCGCGGGGCGTTGGGCTCCCCGCAACACCAAGCGCTGGCCAACGGGTGGATGAACATGTGTCTGGAAGAAGTACCTTCGAATGTTTCAGGAAACAAATTCGTGCATTTAGAAGATATTCAGGGTGAGCATTTTACCTGCGTGTTTTTTTGCATTGATAATAGGAACGGAACAGCATTTACAGCGGCGTAAACTGGTGCTGAAGTCTGGCAGTGGAACCAGAAAAATAATAAAAGTACAATCCATGTTTTTCGTGTTGCTGTAGGTAGCTGTTAATTTGTTCGGAGGAAAATCTCCAACTTGAACATGTAAAATATACGTAACGGACTAATTTCTGAGGAGTGCGAATTAATTTTGAACGACATTCAGAACCACCAATTCATGGCGGGTGTTCTTCCGCGCCCGGCGACCGCCGCCTGGTGGCCAAAGTCTTTCGATTTGATGGAGACTGCTGCAAGGGGCCCCGTGAGAAGAACACAGAGGACACGTTATCGTTCTTGTTCAGGGATAAAGGGGTGTTTAATCCCAGCAACGGGTGCCTATCGGCTGCTATTATGGAGACACGAAGGCGGGGTTCCTTGGTCGATCCGCAGGCCCTTACAGGGATTTATCATGCATTTGTCCCCTCTCCGCACTCCCTGTTAGGCACTGTGGGCCCCTGACAGACGCGGTCCCCCAAATGACGGCCTTGATTCTGCTTGGGAAATGGGCACTCAGGCCCAAACCGATATGGAGCAAACTGTGTCGCACTGGTGGTGCATGACCGACACAGAGGCCCTCATCAACACTGGGGGCCCCTGATCGGCGCGCAGGGCCCTCCGACCGGCATTTCAGGACCCGGCCCACAGAACCAGAACCCTTAATACGACCTCCGGCCAGTCCTTTGGGCCCTTCGGGCTCTCAAATCGGGACCTAAGGGGGGAGGAGGGACACTTGCCCCTATGCCCCTGCTACCTGTGCCGCTTGTTAACGTTGACCTATCTGTAGTTTCAAAAGAAGCACATTTTAATACACAGACAAGCACAAACACTTTCAAACAAACCCTGAATACGATCTACGACCGACCGGTGGACGCGTCGGGCTCTCGAATCGGGCCGTTAATCGTTGGTCCTGAAGGGTCCGAAGGCCCTCGGAACCTAAGGGGGCAGAACAGTTCCTTGACCGTCCTTAAAAACAACTCATGTTCTCGGGGGAGGTGTGCCCCTTACAATTATAAATTTATTATGCGTTTTTCGTTAGGTGTCTTTCAACCAACTGTGAATTTATCGCTTTCACGAACTCGAGACGGGCTGTGGGTGATCTGCCGTTTTGCGATTGAATCTTTTCTCCGAAGTAGTTTAAGGACGGTGCGCTACCATATCCTAACCACACATAGGCATCTATGGCGCAATATACTCAATCACAAAAATCGGAAAATATTCAGCCCCTGTGCGTCTCGTGCAGCTTGGCGGGGCGTCGCTGTATTACATCTTTGAAAGAACATTGGCGACAGCCTCGACGTCAAGGTTAAATGCGTAATTGGCACATGCTTATTTAAAAGTTTTCGGACGGAATCGTTGTAAATCTCTGCTTCTGTTGGCTAGCAGGTAGGTCCAGAGCTGAGGTCATGCCGGCGCGAGAACACCTTTGAAAAGTTAAGCGACATTGCCTTATGCAAAATGGTAAACTTTGGCCCGATGTCTGAGTGTCCAAATCCAATTCATAGCACGGGTGGGTCTTTTGCCTTTTTGGATATTGTCACAGGAATTTAATTTTTCGGAATCTGATTTTGACTTTGTGAGTGGTGTTGTTCCCTAGCTTGAGCATCTGCAAGAATCAGCTAGATAAACATTGGGAATGCTGCTGCTACCACCTGAGATAGCATGCCTTTGGGTTATGAGTACAGCATCATTCTGAGTTCAACATCATCAGCAGCATCATTCACAGTACAGCTCAGAAAGGTGGCACATCAAACAGCACCAAACTATTGACCAGTATATAAACAATCTACCCACTGCACTGGGTGCTGACCCAATATCAGCACACCTAGCTTCATGCTTCTGTGTAGAACTTAGGCCAGCCTAAACTGGGCTAAGTTTTGAATTGATTTGTATTAAAAAAATGTGATATGGGTACTTTTTCATGGGAGACCCTGTAAGATCTGAGTTCTCTTCAGCATTACTTCTATAAGTACTTGGATTGCTGTCAAATGTGTCAAAACCCAAGTGCTCAAGCTTAGACATATTTACTGGCTAATTATATTGTGCTTTGGTTGTTTCACTATGTAACTTCACCTGACCACTGCTCTCATGCTGTATTCACATGTTGTGTGCTGTTCTAAAGCCACTGATGTGTTTTTTCAAAAGTTCTTTACTGAAGTTTTGGTAATGTTTTTTGCCATTTATATTGTCTTTTAATGTGTCTGTGTTTGCATATGCTTTGGCCTTTACTTGATGCTTTTGCCTGTTGCTTCAAGATGTAATGAGTCAAAGTGCACTGTTTTAACAGGCTTGAAAGCAAAAAGAACTGATGAAAGCATTTTTGTTTGGAGCCATGGTGCAGTGAGGTGTGAAAAATGTTATTGTGATGCATGGTAACATGTGCTGTCCTTGACCACTATGATGTGGGGCTGATTTGCTGGTTTTGTTATACAGTGATGGATAAAAATGCAGTGTGATTGGCTGATATGTTTGTGACAAACTCTGCATTGTTTTTGGCGGTACACAGCTAGAATTTGTAGCACAATAATTTGTTGTTTATAAATGGTTCAATATGTCTCTCGCAAGTTGATAATCACATATTTGACCATATTTCAAAATGAATCTATGTGCTTCCTTGATTGGTGTTTCACTCAAATCATTTTGTGAATAAGGATAAGTGTAACTGGCAGGAAATGGTTTGAGGTGCACCACAAGACTTGTGGAAGACCAAAAGACCAAAAAGACTTATGACTAAAAGATCAAAAGACTTATGGAATCTATGACTTATGGAATCTTAAAGACTTATGGAATCTAAAAGACTTATGGAAAGACTACAGGAACTTCCTAACTATTTATTGCATCCTCACATCAGCTCTGAAATGCTCAGGTTAACAATGCACAGCATTTCTTCTTATCTGCCATGTAGTAGCAGATGACTAGGAGTTTACACTACCATGCAACTGCAGCACAAATAGATTAGCAACATTTCATGTACACCTAGTTGCGCTGTTGTAAAAATGTGCCATTATTTTACCAGACAAGTGACACATTCATGATAAGTGGCACATGTGATATTGCTGGCAATTATCATATGCATGTCCTTGTTTAAAAATGCAATATCAAAAGACCCTGTTTGTGAAAGCAGACCTCTTGATCCTTTTAGAAGTGTTGAACACAAATGATACATCCATGTGATTTTGATGGTCTTGAAGCAGGTCTCACAGCTTGCATATTGTGTACAATCAGTGGTCTCCAGTTATTGCCCTGAAACCCGACTGTATTATTTTACAGAGTTAAGGGCCACTAGTTTGACCAGACAATATGGTTTTCCTGACTGCTGCTACATGGATCCGAGCTGCCAAGCCGGACAAGTTTTGGCGGCGGCGCAGAACGTTCCGTTTGTCCGCTGTAAGTACTAAGCCATTGAAAATACCCAGCCTCATTTCGTTCGCTCGTTGTGGAATCCTGTCCATGCCTTCCAATGGCTTGTTGAGAGATTTCTCTCGATATGCGTTTTGACAGCTTTACTTGGCCCTCTGCTGTTATCATTCCATCACGTTGCACACTGCGTGTCATAGGCCCTTGTGCCCTGTGGCGTGTAAGACAGATTGTGACATTGTGTGGCCTGTATGAATAAGTGCGTAATTCCGTCACGGTTTACAGCACTACTATGGGAGGGCCAGAAACTGCTACAAAGTGGCAATCATTAAAGTGGAGAAGGCGCTCCAATATGCGACGAAGGGGCGCAGGCAAAAGAAAAAGGACATGACTGAGGTAAGTACCAGCAATAGCACGTGTAGTTATTCGGTACCAGTTTCTGCGTTTTGCGTCGTGGTTTGAAGGGTGGACTGAGTATTTGGGATTTGTCACTATTGTTATGGCTGAGTATTTGGGATTTGTTTGAAGTGGCTAGGCTGGCTCAGTACGCGGGCCCCGAGACCCGGACCAGGCCCGCGGACTGCGAAGCACGCCATCCCGAATGTTACATGCGCTGGCACAGGGTATGCTAGGGCCATTATCCAGTTTTGACATGTGCGTAAACTTTCACGCAATCCACTTTGGTGCATCTCATGTTTGCTGTCACGCGACTCCGAGCGAAATACGCCGCGGATGGGATTCGAACTGAGGTCCTCTGGATGAATGACAATGCTCGCTGGGCATGACTGTATGTCCACCCTCAGATGTGGGAGCATCGTCTGACTGCTGGCTGTCGGGAGCACGGCGCCTCGCTGCCCGTGCTCAGGGAGGGGCTGATGCGGTGCAACATCCTGCTCAACCGCAAGGTGCTCTCCGACCTCGCCATCTGGGAGCCAAGGACATTCAAGGTAGCATGCGGAAACGGGGGGCGTGCTGGCCGGCTGGGACTGTTTCTCCCAGCGCCATCTATGCGGAGGTCGCTAGCATGCGTAAATGGGCTAAGGCAGGCGTGGCTGGATTCGTGTTGGTTCATGCACGGCTCGTTCGGTCCATAGTACTGTCATGTTGAGTGTGCGAAAGTCGAAAGGGTCGCCTTGGTTGTGTTGTGAAGCGAATAATCGTTATCAGTTGATTCCCTTGAGTTGCCCCCACATAAGGTACAGGCATGTTGTGGAAAACACATGGATGCAGCTGCACAGTCAAATTCCAACTTAGAACAGGTGTGATGCTGGCCTATCACCCCGCTGATTTCGACCACGTGGTGTCTCTTGCAGTCTATCGTCGATCTCTGCAAGGCCAAGGTCGCTGAGGACCGGCCACGCGGTTTGGCGGATATCCCTGACCGGCCGGACCACGTGATCACGCGTGGAATGTTGTAAACATAACATGGCGAGCTACGTGATTGCATTTGACGCCGTGGCTATGCCCCTGGCATATTGCCTATCAGCGTTGTGTTGATAAAACTGTGTGAAGAATGAAGGCTTGTGTCATGCGAGCGAAGACGATTCATGTTTTGAATGCTTTGCTGATAGTCGTAGCAATTGGCGCGGCCTCGTTCATGAGCTACGAGATGTTTTTTGAGTGGTTGCGTGAGTGCAGTGTCCTCACATATTATGAGGAGAAATATAGCAGGGGAGTGCATATCGCTGTTTTTATTTTTCATGGTTGATTATCTGCAAGTGAGTAGCAAGGACTATCAGATTTTTTAAATGTCACTGATTACGGATGCTATGTCTGCCATCCGTCCTAATCCACAACGTTTCGTCATGATAAAAGGTAGCTCCATTGGCGGGAGGGAGCTGCAGTGTGAGGGAAAAGACCGTGATAGTTAGGCTCTACGGTTTTGTGAATGTTGAAACATAAACATGCTGTTGGTGTATACAAATCAATCGCACGGTTTTTGAAATGCTGCTATTTCCTAACTGGCCCTGACACCTTACCAGTAAGCTGTGGCAGCCGTATGAACTTGAATAAAGCGGCATGAACGATATATATCTGGCAGACGTGGCTGATGAACCATGATCTAATACTGAAGATGACTGGTGTTTAATAATGCAGATGACTGTCATGTAGCGGTGGAGGCGATGAAGGCAGTGGATTAAGTCGGATGAGGATTTTCCGTTGTCGAATGCTGCGCGGCCGTGGCAGTCGGGGCCGTTTGCGTTAAGGAAACGTCCGTGGGCGCGTACGCCGGGCGCGAGATCACGGACACGGAGTAGGGTTCTGGAAAACGCGCGGAATTATCGTGCCAGGTGAGAGAGCATTCTGTTATGGTGCGGAAACCATGGTTGCATTTTTGTTGTTGTTTTGCCTTGTTTTTGCCCGGTAGCGAGTGGTCAGCGCGCGTTACAGCAGCGAGCGGTGCCAATGGCAATGACCAAAGCTGTATAAGGAGCCCAGACCGCATTCATTGCATGTTACGCGGAAAATGTCTGTGATAATAACGGTATCGGAGCAACAATCTCAGCACATGTATGCTGCAAGTTTGAATATTCAGCATTTGCTCAATAATCTAGGGAGAGACTGAATAGCTGACAAAGTCTGTTGACAGCCCCATGCCCCAGGCTCGTGGGACTGACTGACATCAAGCCATCATCATTTGATGGTATTTGGCTGAAAGCCTATCCCTTTGAAAAGCCAGTAACCTTGGATCAGATTAAATGTTGCCAAAAATATCAAAAACCTAAGAAGTCAGTGGATAACTGCTTGCTCAGCCTGTGGGCTGGATAGTGGATAGCCAGAAAGTGAAAGCATAAATTGGAGGCAAGTATCATCTGTTAACATTTTTTCACACTAAACTGATTCAAAATTTAGCTCCATCTGGCCTGGCCTGGGTTTGGTGCACAACAGCACAAAGTTTTGTGTACTGACATTAGATATGTGCTCAGCACAGTTTTTCAGATTGGCTTTGAAGTGTTGTTGATATTTTTGCAATACACTACAAACAGTGATACAAAAGCAGCAGAATCATGTCACCTTTACCCTGAGAGAATCACTGGTGCACACTATGCTGATTACCATCGCAAGCATTGAATATTGTAGCCCATGCATTGCAATCATTGAACAGAAGTAGCCCATGCATGGCAGGATCTTCACTTTTGTTATATGAACTGTGGTCACTTTAGAAGTGTGGACCATTATTAAAATTTACTCTTACACATACATCATAGATCATCCCACATTTCCTTACAGAATGTGAAATTTTGACTCCATTAGCTGTTGGTTTGAGCTGAGCTGGTGGCATCTAGGGTTGCTTTGTGTTCAAGTGGCAGATATTTCAGTTTGAGCTTGGCTATCAGTATTGCATAGTTTTGTAAGTGGAAATAATTCCATATCTTCCCAAACTTGTACATGTAGGATGTAGCTGTGCTTTTCTCTTTTTATTTATTGTTATCTTGCTTTTGTTAACATAAGGTCCTTAAAACTTAAACCCACCTGGGGTAACTAATTTGATTTTAATTCTTCTGTAACTTTGGTAGTTATGAACCACCCATATCAGCTAGTCTGCAGACATTCCTCTGGGGCATGCAATTAATTGCATGTTGCCTTGCATCATTAAGTGGCTGAAAGCCTACAGCTAAAAGCAGTGGTGTTAGAATTAACTTTATAAATCATCATCATCATCATCATCACAAATGTGCTCACAGGTTATCCATTATTGCAATGCATCAATTAAGAAAAACCATGCTGTCATTCCAGTGCCAGATATTGAAAACAAAAAGCCATTGTTTTGTCAATGATGAATGTAAGATGGAATTTGACTTATAGGGGAATTTAGAGCAGGCCAGTGTGTTTATGGTGCACTAGTAACAGAAAAAGCCCCTTTTGGGTGGCACTAGGCTAGGCTTTTGGCTGTCTTCTTTATTTTTCATTGCACATCGCACTTGAGTATTTTGTCACAAAATTCAACTTGAGGGATAATGTAAATTTCTTCTGGTCAAAAGCATGTGGTCATCTCCCATAGTCTACTAGCCATCAAAGAATTGTTAGTATTTACATGTATCTAAGATGATTGCTGTAGCCAAATGCCCCTTGTGTCACCTATCCATGCCACATGTCACAAGTAAAGGGTGCATAGGTTTGACATCATCAGCCTTCCTCCTCAGGCGAGAGGCCGCGATGGATGACGACTTTGAGGAGCGTGACTGGCCGGACGAGGGTGCTGATGCCGACTCGGAGGGGGAGGACGCGGCGCCGCGCGAGGACCCCGAGCAGGTCATCCGCGAGTGCATGTTGTTGTTCGCCTCGCCCGACTACATCATGGAGCCAGGCATCTTCGGCACGCTGAAGCGGTACTTCTCGGTGAGCGGACGAGGCGGTTCGGGTGGGGGAGCTTCGCCGGCAGCGGCGCATGTGGTCGCTGGTCATACATTGATTGGTGTTGTCCTGGCAGGTGGGAGGTGTCAGGTGCTGCGAATGGTGTTGAATCCTTGAATCCACAATTAATGTCTCCATTTTTTGGAGACACTAATTGTGTTTAGAGGTGCTTTGTATTGAGCATCACATGCTCATGTATGGCTGGGTTGTGTTGTATCCTAGTGCACCGTCATCATGCTGTATATCAGTCACGCATCACGAAGCCCGCATCTGACCCTGACCCCGTCTCAGGCGGGCGGCGACCCGGAGACAGTGATCGAGACCATCTCGAGCAACTACAAGGCCATCTCGGGCCTGGCCAACCTTATCGCCGAGTGGCTCATCCTCTCCGGCGTCGACATTCTGGACGTGCAGAGCCTGGTGGAGAACCACCTCAAGGACATGATCCTGCGCACCTTCGACCCGGCCAAGGCCGACACCATCTTCAACGAGGAGGGCGTGACGCCCGCCTGGCTCTCGGAGATCATCAAGCACCCGACGTGGCGGTCGCTGATCTACCGGCTGGCCGAGGAGTACCCCGACTGCATGATGCTCAACTTCACCATCAAGCTCATCTCGGACGCCGGCTTCCAGGGCGAGATCACCAGCCTGTCGACGGCCTCGCAGCAGATCGAGGTGTTCTCGCGTATCGTCAAGACGTCCATCACCAACATCCTGTCGCGCTCGGACGACGACACGCGCCGCCACATCGCCGAGTTCGCCGCCATGGTTTGCCACGGCCAGCACACGTACATCTACACGCAGGCGCTGCTGCAGGTGCTCTCGCAGGAGGGGCGCGCCGGCGCCAACGCCAAGCGGCTCTCGCAGGAGGTGACGCGCTCGGCCGTCGCGCAGGGCCAGAACGTGACGCCCATCATCCTGGCGCTGAACGGCGCGGCGGCGTACCCGCGCGCTGCCGGCGCGCTCGCCTCCATGCTGGCGCGCAACGCGCTCAACCCGGCCGACATCACGGCACTGTTCAAGCTGTTCAGCACGTCCGACCCGCCGCCCGTGGAGCTGATCCGATCGCCAACCTTCCTCGAGCTGCTGATTGGGGCGCTTTTCCGACCGGGGAATAAGGTGGGTGGCGAGTGGGCGAACAGACACACAGAGAGAGAGAGAGAGAGGGAGGGAGGGAGGGAGGGAGGGAGGGAGGGAGGGAGGGAGGGAGGGAGGGAGGGAGGGAGGGAGGGAGGGAGGGAGGGAGGGAGGGAGGGAGGGAAACTGCTCTGAGATAACGCGAGGCATCGCGTCGGTGTTGCGGTGTCCATGTTGGTACGAAATACCGTGTCGGCTGGTGCTGGTTTGTTTCTGTTTTCCATTTCGACGTTTTTGCATGACACAGTGTTTGGTTTTGTAACCTTCCACACGAACATTCTTGCAAGTTCCTGTTGGCCATTTCGCTGACGCCCTTTGAACACGCCTCGCTTTCATTGTATTATTGCATTGTAGGAAGCCGGTGAGCTGAAGCGCCGCCCGTCGTGGAAACCACTGCCGTTGGAGCTTACCACTGTTACTCACGTCCAGACCTCTGCTTGCGGCCCCAAGCGTCGTCACCCTCTTGTGTCACGTCCCTCCAGGTGAACCCGGACCACCGGCCCAAGTACATCTACCTGCTGGCGTATGCGGCGTCGGTGTGCGAGCAGTGGCGGCGCGGCCAGCGCGACAGTCTGAACCAGGACGAGCTGCGCGCCACCATCCAGGCGCTGGAGCGCGTGCATGCCATCTGCAGCAACAGCAAGGGCACGCTCGAGATCATGTCCGAGCTGAACGCGCTCTACCAGTGCATCAGGTGGGAGCGCTGGCAGCGGCGGTGCTCCAGGGTCGCTGGGTGGTGGGGATGAGCGGGTTGAATGCTTGGGCCGTTTGCTGGTGGTCTGCCGGTCTGGAGCACGCGTCGGCTGACGTGCTGCGTGTGGTTGTGGTCTGTTCTCAACCGCCGTAGCTGCTGGCCATTGCGTACCAGGGACACAACATGTCTGACCAGCTGGCAGTTACGAATTTGTCGTGATTTGACGCACATGTCATGACTCTGAAATGCTCCACTTAAGTCCGATTGATGCCTTGCATATCTGATGAGTGTCCGTGCCGTGCCTTCTGCGCCCAGACACGGCGTTCCCGAAGCTCGCGTTTGTGGAAATAGCGGCGGAGTGCCTCGCCGTCGGGCTCCCAGCCGTGTCTGACTGTTTCCAACACAGCCGCCCACGAGGCGCCCGGGCGGTGGGTGCGTCCTAGCGCTCCGCCCGCCGCCGCCGGGGCCGTGTTTTAACAGCTCCCCGCCCTACCCTGCTCAGGTTCCCGGTGGTCTCTGTGGGCCTGATTCAGTGGGTGGAGGCCACCGTGACGGAGCCGTCCTTCTTCAAGCTTTGCACCGAGCACACGCCCATCCACCTGGCCCTGCTGGACGAGGTGGTCACGTGTCACGCCCTGCTGCACGAGAAGGTACGCCCGCCGCCGCACCTCCCGCCCCCCAGCACGACGTGTGCACGTGTGGACTGGTGCTGCAGGAAGAGGATCGCCGTCCACATGAAGGCAGATGGACATTTGTGTTGGGTTATGGTGCGATGGAAATTTTCCAGATATGACCATTGCTTAGGAGACGGTAGGCATTGGTTGGTCGGTTACATTGCTGGTGATGGAACGTTTATATTTGGTAGGTGATTGGCTTGTTCATTAATACCTTTAGAACTTAGGTTCAGGCTTATCCAGCCGTTTGCTGACAACTGCCTGTGATTTGGACATCCTTACGCCTCCCCCCCCCTCCTGTTTTGTATTTTGTCACTTGTGTGGTGATCATTCCTATGCCTTGCCTCCTCTCTGTCTGACACGTGAACTGGGTCTGCCCACTGTTTGACCCCATTTGACCCCTGACCGGACGTTTCTGACCCCTGGCGTGACCCCTGTTTGACCCCTGACCTGGTCTGTCCGCCCGTCAGGTGATGCGCCTCTACGTCCAACTGTTCGAATCGGACCAATCGGAGCTCGAGATCCTGGTGCAGCTAGAGATGCGGAAGATGCTGCTGGATCGCATGGTGTGCCTGCTGAGCCGCGGTTGCGTCATCCCCGTCGTCAAGTACATCCGCAACTGCTGGCAGAAGTCGGACACGGACATCTCGCTGATCCGCTACTTCGTCACCGAGGTGCTGGACATGATCGCGCCGCCCTACTCGCCCGAGTTCGTCCAGCTCTTCCTGCCCATGGTGGAGAACGAGGAGATCACGGACAGTATGCGCGGCTCGGGTGACGACCTCGTCACCCAGTTTGTTGTGCACTGCAAGGGCCAGATGACGGAGCCCTGACAGGACGCGGCGCGGGCGGACGGCGACGGTGACGGGGCGGCGGCGCTCGTCGCGGCCGGTGCCGGAGCCCCGGGGTGCTCCGGCGAGCCGGCGGCGGCAGCGGCAGCAGCGGCAGCGGCGGCAGCGGTGGCGGCGACGGCAGCGGCGGGCGGCAGCCCCCGGGGTCTGGGCAGCCACGGGAGAGCGGCGGATGCCGGCCCGAAGGCAGCGCGTCGGGTTAGGTGGGCCGAGCACGACCCCAGCCCCTGAGCTGGAACGGTGCACAGGGGACGTGAGAGCTCCGCTGGGAACGGAGGGCGAGAGGAGGTGGGTCAGGAGGACTTGACCGCCGCGGCAGAGTGCAGTGCCGCGTGCTTATGATCTCGGCGTTCATCTCAGCGGGGCCACGTTGGAGTGGAGAGGTGCGGGGGTCAGTCGGTGCTGGCTGTGTGACGTCTTTGTGATGCTGGTAGTTGGGGCTCTGAAGGATATGCCTGCTTACCAGTGCTGGTTGGTGTCTGAAACCCCCCGTCTGGGGGGGGGGGGGGGGGGGCGGCGGGGGCGGATGTAGGCAGCAGTGGTGTACAGGAGTGCGGTGCATTGTCCACAGTCACCCTGTGTGACAATGTGTGTCTGCGCGTGGCAGAAACCTTCTTTGATGCGTCCTCCGCACACTGCTTCCGCCGCGGACAGTGACTGGACGCGTGCGGTGCTTTTTAGGTGGGTATGCCGATAACACCGGTCACTGCGATGCGGTGCATTGCACGCCCTGTGACCCAGTTTTTCCTCCCGCCTGGCCGTCAGAGGAGGTGGATCTCCGATCTGGGGCGGTGTGTACAAAGTTGATGCGTGACGGCGGTATGGCTGCTTGGAAAGGTTTCTATAGGCACACAGGTGATCTTGCTTCGTCCCCATCGCGCGGTGTTAATCGCCACGTCATGCTGGGCATGGACTGCCCCTTCCATGGATGTTGTTCATACCATCATTTTTGTTGATTGTGCTTGTGAATTTCTCGTTATGCCTTCATCGTGAGGGTGTGGTGGCAAAGCCATCCTGGACCGTATTAGGAAACTTGCGAATACCACTTTGCAAACTTTATTTCGTTATCGAGAAACACCACATGTCTGCAAATGGTGGGTTATTACGTGAACTCGTTCCGATAACATCTCGTGTCAAAGAGTTGGTCTCAGCGCGGTGAGATTGAGTGCCACGGTGCGACCACGGCATGAGCGGAAGCTTACATCAGCGACTCATGTCTAAATTAGGTCACCATCACGGCATAAAACGCTCGCAACAAGGCACACAGGCAGAAAAATAACGATACAAAATGCCGACTCCGAGAAAGACAAGTCCAGAGGCCAGGCACGAGGCGCGGCTAACCAAGATTCGCCATCAAAAACTACCCCGTCCCCTTCAGTCCGATCAACTAGCGAGCAGTCTGGCTGCTGTTTACTTCTGTGTAATCCGTGGCCAGCTCATTCTGGTGGTACTGTGTCCACGCCGCGGCAGAGGCCTGGCCTGGAGTCTCGTGGCGCCAGGGAGGTGTGGGTGCACCCGGCTCCACGCCGCGGCAGAGGCCTGACCGGGAGTCACGTGGCGCCGGGGAGGTGCGGGTACACCCGGCGTCTACGCGGCAGAAGCGTTGCCTGGAGTCTCGTGGCGCCAGGGAGGTGTGGGTGCACCCGGCTCCAAACCGCGGCAGAGGCCTGACCGGGAGTCACGTGGCGCCGGGGAGGTGCGGGTACACCCGGCGTCTACGCGGCAGAAGCGTTGCCTGGAGTCTCGTGGCGCCAGGGAGGTGTGGGTGCACCCGGCTCCAAACCGCGGCAGAGGCCTGACCGGGAGTCACGTGGCGCCGGGGAGGTGCGGGTACACCCGGCGTCTACGCGGCAGAAGCGTTGCCGGGAGTCTCGTGGCGCCGGGGAGGTGTGGGCGCACCCGGCGTCCCCGCCACAGAAGCGTTCCCGGCTGTCTCGTGGTGCCGGGGAGGTGCGGGTACACCCGGCGTCCCCGCCGCAGACTGAGGGCCGCCTCCCACCAGGCCGTGCTACTCCCGGCCGCCGCGCTCCGCAGTCGGCTGTCGCCAAGATGGCCGCCCCCTAGTGTGCATGTCGGCCACCATGTCGAGGATATGACCAGGGCCAGGCGAGGTCGCTCTCCCGCATCGGCACGTGGTCCACGCTGCCGGGCGTTCCGGGCGTCAGCGGGCCGGGCGGCAGCGGCGCTCCCTGCCGGAGAGGATGCGGCCGTCAGGGGTAGGGCTGGGCATCTCCCGCGAGGGAGGCGGGTATTGGGGAGATGTCGGGGAGTGGGAATCCCTTCCATGGACTCGGACCGTTTCCAGCCTTGTGACGGTATCGTCAGGGCTGCGCTGGGAAACAGGTGCGGTGCATCCAACAGCTGATGTGGATCAGTCGCCGCCGGCGGACTGCGATCTGGAAGATGTGGCCTTCCTGATCACAGATGATGCTCGCAATCGCCTGTTTGCGCTGCGAGAGAAGCTTGGTATCTCAAGGCATCGCAGGCCGAGGCCGCACAACGACTGTTGTTTTTATGATGGACTTTCAACCCGTCCTTTCTCAGCCTGTTGCGTATTATCTCGAAAGCACTATGCGATAAAACATCGAGGTCATAAAAAGCTGACCAAAATTCACCCGTAGCTTGCAAACGCCGCTTTGATATGATGAAATGCTTGCCGCACCGCCTCCTGATGCCTTTTCGCTAAGCTTGATGGGGGTCGTTCCGAGGAGTGGATACCAGCTCCCGCCCTCCCGTTTGCCGACATCGTCTCACCTGGCGGTGGTAGTCGCACTCATCACACCCAGTCGGACCGCCGGGCCGGGCCGCTCCCTCCACCTGCGCGTGCCGCTGCTGTGGCGGCCGGCCCTCCGTCGCCGAGTGCCGATGGGGGCGCGGCGGGCACTCGTCCGTCAGCGAGCGCCGGTGCGGCGGCGGCGGACACCCCTCCGTCAGGGAGTGCCGGTGCGGCTCGGCTGGACTGGGCGCCGCCGGTGGCACGCAGCCCTCGGTGAAGGAGCCCGGGTAGCGGTCCGTCAGCGAGAGCGGGTACCCCTCCGCCGGGGTGAAGAGCGCCCGCCGGCTGTGGGGGCAGCTCGGCCGCGACTCCAACGGAGACGGCGCCTTGTGCAAGCTCGGAGGCCGCCCGAGCGGGAAGGAGGCCGGCGCTGGGGTGTGGAACAGCGACAGCCGGTCGGCCAGATGTCTGAAATGGGACACCGGTGATACGTCCCCACCGCTGGTCAGGTGGGACGTTCGGAATAAGTCAATACGGCAGCTGCTGGCCAAGCGTTGCGGCTTGATTTTCATAAAACAGATTACTTTAATGATAGTTTCATGTATCTTAAATTTATTCATCAAAAGTACGTTAAAAACGGTGATTTATTTCACTTCAAAGATTAAGGAGAATTTTAATTGGTGGCGATGCTTGCGCCCGGCACATCGAGGACTTCGCTTAAGAGGTCTTCACGCGTCACGACTGCCAGCGATGGGTCAGCAATAGCCTACCGGCACTGCTGGTTAACCATCAGTGGTATTAACGGCAATAACAACTAGTGACCATCAGCCATTGGTTGCACCGCCTTCAGAGATTAACATTCAGACCTTCAGAACAGATGTACCGCCTTCAGTCCAACGACCTCGAGCCGTCGCTCCCCCTCTCCCCTCCCTCGTCCGCAGCGCCTGCCCAGCTGACCTGTTCTCCATCTGCAGCGCGGCGATCGTCTCCGCCTGCTGGTCGACGCGCTGGCCCAGCCGCTGGTTCTCGCTGCGCCACTCGGCCAGCCAGGCGGTCACGTGCTCCACGATCACGTCCGCCTGCGCGTGCACGTCCTCCTGGCCGCGCAGCGTGTCGGCGAGCTGCGCGCGCAGCTCGGCCAGCTGCGCCTCCAGCCGCGCGCGCTGTTCGGCGCACCCGGCGTGCTCGGCCGTCAGCTGCTGCACCTGTGGCGGCCGGCACCTGTGACGGGGGTGGGGGGCGCCGCGACGCCCCACGACCGGGGTTGGGAGGCACGTGCGGGGCGGGGTAGGTAACGATTACCTGGCGTTGACTGACATGAATATTGGCGTAGGTGCGAGTCAGCGTGTACGTGCGTGCTTGCATGATTCCGCGAACCTGTTTATGTTCGTGCCTGCGTGTTGGCGCGCGGGCATGTGTATGCATACGTGTATGTGACGTTGACGTGTATTTTTGTGACAGACATCTGCGGTATATGATCAGCGTCACATTTTGAAGACATTACGATGAGTTCCCGAAGGGTTCCGGTAACCCTGCGGTTGCTACACCAGCACTCGTATCAACGACATGAAACACTCTTTCCTGCGAACGCCTGTGTCTGTTCTCCAGCACGCTCCCCAGCAGCCTCTCCCTGTCATCACCAGGTCCACTGGCCAGCAGCGGGACTATGTCCGACCAACAACAGTCCTGCAGCCTTCACCTGCCTCTCTCCCTCCCGTCAACTCCGGCGGTCTGGCTCACCTGCTGGTCGAGTTTCTGGTTGTTCTCTCGCTGCTCAGTCAGCTGACTGCTCAGCTGACTGACGTAGTCCCGCTGCGCCTGACATTGGTCCTGCGCCGCCGTGGCCTCGTCCCCGGACGCCGCCAGGTCCGCCCGCAGCCCACGGATCTGGCTCCAAACGAGGTATACCAGCTCTGCGGACTTCGACATCCAAGCCAATGACAACATGTCCACTAGCAACGCGACGCCTGGTGGAATTTAGCGAGTCATGCCTGATGCGTCTGTGTCCAGGATGAGCGGGCCATGGGCAGGACATTTATGGCCTCCCTTAGGACAACCTGAGGAGGCCCTTTGTCTGTCTGCCTGGTAGTCAAAATATTATCCACATGCGTTGAGACTGAACCTCGAAGAAGCTCACCGGAACTGGATGTTCATGCATGACTAAGGTGACAGTGGAAACGTGGAAACGTGTGGTGTCAGTGTGCCATGACCTTGTCTGATGTGACCCCGTCTGACCTTCCAAAGTCGTTCCTTCCCTTCCGTGACCTATCCTAACTTTCCCTGGCGTGGCCAGAGGGCGAGCTCACCATTTCGTGCTGGTGCTGCTTTTCTAGGATGAGTAGGTCCACTTGGGACCTGACCTGCACCAGGCGCTCGTCGGCTGCCGCCCGCTCCTGCAGCTGCTGCCGGGCCAGCTGCAGCTGCTGACGCAAATCCGACAGCTGCGTCTCCTGACGGCGGAGATCGCGGAAACTGAGGTTTAAATGGGAAGCAATTGGACCAATAATTTTGAACTTTTCGGTACCGCACCAAACTAGCACGTGCTCAGAAATGTGCAAATCAGAATCGCTACGACTATATTAACGACAGGAAGCGACATCTCGCAAAGTATCGTTCGGTTATGGCTCGGTGGGTCTGGCGTTCCGGCCTCAGTTGGGCTGATTGCCCAAAAAATCCGACGGTCTGATTGGTTGACAGGACCATGCGCGTAGCCAGTCGGTTTGTTTTGCGAACAAAATGACCTGGTACCTGTCTACACGTAACAGGTAACCGCTCAGCTTCCCAAGCCGCGCGAGGTGTGGTTCACTTCAACGAGCCAATTTTCCGATGATATTGTACGTAACAGCTAACGCACCTCCTTTTTGCACTCTTCAACACCGTCCCGCAGTGCCGTCAGACCCCTACGGAGGTCAGCCAGCTGGCGCTGACCGTCGGTGACCTTCTGACGCCAGAGCCGGTTCTCCCGGCTTAGCTCGTTGATCTCCCGTTCCAGGGAAGGTGTCAGGTCCGCGTCGGAGGTCTCCTTCTGGGACACAGGGAGGAGACACACAGTTCAAGTCAAACGCGCAAGTCGGCCGTTGGTACATCGAGTTGAGTATGACTGTTGGACGGTTGACGGTATCATCGACGATTTAGTCGTTTTCACGTTGCCGAATACCCAGTTGCCTACATAAAGATTGCACTTCGCCAAAATATTGCAACGTGCGAGGGACAACCGTTTTTTCATCGCTCGATTGGGCTACCTCCAAATCATGCCATAAATTACTGAGAGTGCTTGCTATGCGTGTGGATGTGTCACGATTGCTCCAATTAGACGGCCAAGCTGGCTGCAGAGCCCTGCTCTACACTTCCGCACTGGCCCACGAGCCCTTCACATCGTCGACAGCAGTACTATTGCAACATTCTACTGGGGATAGTGACCCGCCTGCCCTGGCCGTCGGCCGCCTGAAGCGGAAGTTGTGAGCCGCGAAAGCGGAGTGGAGCTGTTTGGAATCTTCGGGCTGGAACGAATCGGCGAGTTCTGGGACGAATCTACGGAATTCTCTGTTCGTTTGATTTTTTGCGAAGGGAGGAAAACGAACTCAAGATGACAGACGTGCAAATGCCGGAGAGGGGCAGACACACACACACACACACACACACACACACACACACACACACACACACACACACACACACACACACACACACACACACACACACACACGCACGCACGCACACGCACGCACACGCACGCGCACGCGCACGCGCACGCGCACGCGCACGCGCACACACACACACACACACACACACACACACACACACACACACACACACACACATATATATATATATATATATATATATATATATATATATATATATATATATATATATATATATATTGGGGAACATTTGTCTTTAAGAGATACAGAACTCCACGTGTGGTCTGTGTCAAACTATGGGGAATGCCCACCTGCTCCACCAGCTGCCGGAGGTACTCAGCGACGTCCCGCTGGTGCACGAGCTGCTGCTGGTGGCTGCAGCAGCCGACTGACCCCGCCTCCTCCTGTGGGCGGGAGAGGGGGGGGGGGGGCACCGTCAGAGGCGGGTACAGGCGAACATTGTGGAGGACGGACCGGGTCGCAGTGTCACCTTGTCTCTAATCACTAACGAACTCAGAGTGCGGTTGGCAGTGCGATGGGGATCGATCCGGTTGAAAACACCCGTTAAGTGTCTTTCGCAGGACCGCTCCTGTCGCAGTGGTGCTCAGTTGACCTCCCCACACGTGCAGCCACAGGTGTGTGGCATCAGCGCCTGAGGCGATGAGCAAATTTGGACAGGTGGATGTGCGACAGAGGGAAAACCTGCCCCAAACGCCGCTGGGGTAGGCGCTAAAAATGACAGTTGAAGTGGACGTAGCCGGCTAGGATGCAAAGCTCTGTTCGATCAGCTTGTCCGATCTTAGGCATAATGCTCCAGAAGAGGACAGAGAATAAAAGCTATCTCCGCTCATAAATTCACTTCGAGCGTGCAACAAGCATGCAACATGAAGCATGGTAAACGAATACCTATGATCACTACTCACCCCATGATTCTTCTGCATCTCCTCAGTCTGCGTTTCCGCCTCCAGAACGGACGTTCGACCTTGAAGTGGCGGATGACCTTGGCCCAGTGTGTCGGCCAGGACGCACAGTTCCGTCTGCAGTCGCTCAAACATTGTTTCCACCAGAGCGACATCAGCGCCGTCGTCCCCATCGCTCTCCTGTTCAGAGCGGAGTCAGCACATCCTGGTGAATGTTTGCCGGGGCACACATGAACCTTTTTAACGTATCGAGCACGAACATAAGCATCACAGCCCGCTGTTCTCATGGAGGGACTCTGTCTAACTACCTCACCTAACGGCGTGCGGCGAAATTGATTTTGGTCGATTTCATCAACAATGTGATCAAAATTTGATCCGAATGTTAATTTTGGTCCACTGGATCACGACAATGTTGGTGACGCGGGCACTGGTGTTTGGTTCTCTTCAGTTAGGACATGATTCACGTCCGGATGAACCGACAGAAAAACCATACGAAGCATAGTGACACCATTCAAGCTCGATTTTCTGCAGCTTCCACATCACAGCACATGCCTTAAGCAATCCGCGGTCGAGTGCGTGGTATGGCAGCAGGCTGTGGCGCGACTCTGACTCTGTTAACCCAGCGTAACAGCAAGCCGCAGCAGCTGTAACCCGGTGGTAACTCACTGGCCGGGCCTGCACCATAGCCTCCAGGGTGGTGACCTGTGACCTGAGCTGGGTCACCTTTTGGCCCAGCTGGCGGTTCTCGGCACGCAGTTCCTCTATTGCCGCCTCCTGTTCTCGCCGACTGAGGGACAGAGCAGGGCGTGGTTACGGGGTGGATCGCACACCCCTCGCTGAACAATCACACATGTCGCTGATCGCTGTTGTGTTTCACCGCTCTGACGGTGGCGGCCGTGTTCACATGCGTGACACCTGGAAGGCCCATCTGTTCATATGTGAGGCATAGCATGGAAAACTCGGATGGATTGTACTCGGGTAAACTCGGGTGAGATTGTGCTATGTTGTGGGACTGGTTTCATTCGAATTTCCAACGAATCCAGTTCCCTATATCCTGGTGCTGGCGTTTTAAAAGTCATATTTATTATCACCTTCGGATGACGCGTACATCATCATCATGCGTCATCACTTGCGTACACCTGGACAGATCTTCACCTATACATCCAAGGCATTCACGTACCTCGTCAAAGCATTGCTTGAACTGAGATCTGGCAGCCGTTAAGTCCATGTTAAGCTTTTTTACCTCTTCGATGTGTCTTTTTGTCCCCTGAAAAGAACAAATATTAAAATCCCTCTTCATTTCTGGCTTCAAACTCCCAGGTGATCCAACGTTCACGTGTCGCTTTTGTTTTTGTTTTGAAGTGTTTTAAAGTGTCGCACGTGTTGGCGTTTTCACTGATAAATTTTCGTAGGTAGGTGTTTGTGCAATACCCATCGGGTAGGCTAGAACGCGGCAATTTCTTTCCGTAATGTCCATTGAACTCGGCATATTAGTCTATACGAGGTGATCAAGGTATTTTGACAGTTTTCTGCAAGCACTTCAACACCATGTTAAAAATATGACGAACTGATGTGACCCCTACACCGAAATGAGCATGCCGCGCAAATACACAACGGGGTCGGCGGGCTTCACATAACAGCGTCACACCGCATAACATCCGCATCAAAGTCTCTTTTGTTCTGGTACAGCTAGCAGTCACCTGCGACTACCGCGTTAAAAGCAATGTTCGACATTTGAATATAATGAAGAGAGCATCAGCTATCATGAAATGAGCTCACTCAGAACTATTGGTATATCTTAGGTAGAAAAGATTGCTCTAGACAACACAATTTCTCCATCAAGTAAATATTCTCTCTCCATATGACATTGTTTGAATGCGCCATCGCGCCTTGCAAAACATTGATTGAGTGATCTTCAAAATGGCCTTCAGTTCAAAGTCCATCCACATATGGAGCATTCCCTGTAAACGCGCTTCGTCTATCGACGGAGAGGAGACGTTTCGAAACCAAGGTGTTCCGACGGCGGTATGACCCTTGACCAGTGCCTCCACTACGAACGAAAGGCTGGGCGGTGGTGGGAGGGGCATACCAAGGATGCCAGAATTATTTTCAATATGGTGTCGTAAGCGTAATGCTCCTTTTCGCCAACGCTGGGGAACCCGTCGCCGCTGTGGCCGAGTCCAAGGATCCGCAAACCAGGTATTGGAATGGAATTGGATTGATTAGAACTCTCATGGAATTGATTTGCGCCAACTCGTAAGCCTGTTGTAGCAATGAGTACGGTACAATGTGCCTCATGAGTGTTCCTGATCCCAAGTTAGCTTCATTAGCACGAACTCGATGATGTACCAGCAGATCCTCTGGCACACGAGGTGGGTTCTGCTGCTCTTTTAACGTCGGGTTTGAAAACCGCTCCCCGTCAAACGCCTCAGGCAGTAAGAACGAACCAAAATCGGGCAACATGCTCGGCCAGTGCTATTGCAGTGCTGATAGGATGATATTCCTGGCCCTAGACCTACCTTCAGGCATTGAGCCACTACTCCTAATGCGCTGCGGAAGCGGCACTTGGCCGGCTCGTGGAGCAGCCACTGTAACGGTGCACAAGAAGCCGGAAGCTCGGGGAAGCTCTCCTCCGCCGCGGCGGAGCGCGGAGCCGACAAGCTACGCCGTGGTTACTCTCATGCTGCCATCTCGATTCACACATACTTGGTGCGGTGTTAGTCCGTGTTCTGACCTGCCTGCTGGAGTAGCCGCCGCCGCCTCAGAAAAGAAACATCACGACACAAGGTTGTTTATTTAACAGTCCGCGTACGCACCGACGGTATACTGACACGTATTTTGTGGCATGAACGCATGCTGTAACCTAGTAAACGGCCACATAGGTCACACTTGCGGCTAGCATAAATAAATCGGCATTTCCGTCCAGCCGAAGAACACATTGGCTTACGCTTTGGCACACGCGTTCCACATGGGTATTGCAGTCAACCGGGCAACCGGTGCTCTAGAATGCTTCAGATATTGCACCGAGCGCGAGCGGACACGTATGAGTGATCTGCTTTGCCACTTAAAAGCGTTTTGTTCTCGCCGTTGCACTGGCCCAACGCTGCAAAAGAGCTGCATCTGTCCGAGACCTAAACATCGGCTGGTCTTTCGGCTGATCGTTCAGCCTGTCGTGTACCAGGGTACTACATCGCTATCCAGCGCCTGACGACGGCTTCAAACATTATGTCCAGCAGCTTGAGCCCTCACGTCATATATCTTTTAAGACGACATCAAGACCCTTCATCAATGACGTCACCAGCATAAACGTCATCAGCGTCGACGTCAAGCCGACCAATGGCCTCACGCATCGCCAGCGGCGATTTCCTGCGCCCCAGCAGCCAGGCCAGACGCCACCAACATGCCGCTCCATAGTGACGTCACTCCAATGCATCTATGACGTCATGCGGACGCGAGTAGGCGCGCAAGCGTTGTTAGTTGGGCTGCACGCGGGACAGGCGTGATAGTCAGAAGCAGGCGGCACGCAGAGAGGCGGGCAGAGAGTGAGAGGGGAGAGAGCGTAAGAGGCGCTAGGTCGGCGCTCAGATGTTCTCCACTTTGGGCCTCACCCCGCCACCAAGCAGACTGCTCAGGAAAGAGGGGCCAGGCTGGAGCGCCTCCGCCTGCTGCTTCGACTCCAGCAGCGCCTGCTGCAGCGAGCTGATGGTGGTCCATTGGCGGCCGATCTGGCGACAGACGGCAGCGACAGTTATGGGGATCTACTGGCTGCCGATACCTCGACAGACTGTAGAGATGGCGGCTACGACGGCTCGCTGGCCAACACATCGACCGTCCGCGGAGTCGGGAGTTATGGTGGTCTACTGGAACCCGATAAGTCAGCAGACAGCAGAGGCGGGAGCTGCGGTAGTCTCCTGACGGGTATGTATGTCGACACAGGGCACAGAACAAAACGGACGGCGTGAGGACGACCGCGGCATACCGCGCACACGTTATTGTGGTCGACTATTGAACGTCGATACATCGACACAACATAGCTGCATTGACTACCGATCTGCTGACGACAAATACTCGACAAACGTCGTCGATGCCGAGTTGGCTCTACTGGGGTTAGGCCACTGAGGCGGTCAGCTGAGGCCACCGATAATCTCACGAGAGAGAGAGGGAGAGAGAGAGAGAGAGAGAGAGAGAGAGAGAGAGAGGAGAGAGAGAGAGAGAGAGAGAGAGAGAGAGGAGAGAGAGAGAGAGAGAGAGAGAGAGAGGAGAGAGAGAGGAGAGAGAGAGGAGAGAGAGAGAGAGAGAGAGAGAGAGAGAGAGAGGAGAGGAGAGAGAGAGAGAGAGAGAGAGAGAGAGAGAGGAGAGAGAGAGAGAGAGAGAGAGAGAGAGAGAGAGAGAGAGAGGGGCACGAGTGGGTTACTACTATGCTGTTATTTGCAAGCTTCTCATTCCGAGGACAGCAATGTGTGCTTTCAAACCGGCTGTGCGTAACAATCTTTGGCTTGTCAGTAGTCGCGTCAGAGCCAAGCTTCCGTAAGCAGGTCTTATAAATTGGACAGACGTTTCCGCACGATACTAACACAGGTTAACAAAGCATCACAAACTCGGCCGCATTATTATTGTTATTATCATTATTGGAGGAATTATCTGGCAAAAATCTACCTTCAATGCACCAGAAGGCAGAAGTCACCAGTTAAGCAACGTCATCAATTGCCATTGGTTGTGTTGGGTCGTTGACAAAGTGGTTATTAATTAACAAGTAAGCACAGCTTAAAACATCGAGTGTTGTCAAAGTAGTCAATGCTTGCTGGATCACGTAGCTAAATCAGAACCTCCTGGTATAATGACGGACGATCTTTACTAGCATTCCAACTAACAACTTCATCATGCTGGGAAACCAGGAGTTCATGCCTTTCACGTTTCTATCAAAGCTGTAGCATTGGTGTTTGGGTCAATCAACAGTTATTCTGGGTCATCGTTATAGCCCATCTCATTGTCCAACAGCGACATCTCGTACAATTTCCCGCAAGATCGCGCAGGTGCAGGTGGCATACAGCGCTTTTGATCCAGTGTTGTGTTTTCTCAGGTCAACATTACTCAGATATGGAAGCAAAGTCGTCCAAAATGTTTGAGCTTCAGAGAACTGTTAGATGGTTACTGTGGCCTTCCGGCGCTTCGGCTGCGCGGTTCTATAGCGCTCAACCATTATAAAAACAATTTCTGCCGAAGTCCCTACAACGGCATCGGGATGATTCAGCAAATAATTTAGCTTGGACACGCTCAGGTCATAAGTCAGAGCGGAATGATTCACAAACTTTGAGAGTTCGGACATTATCGTATCATACGCCGATTTACCACAGTTTTGCGGGTATCGCACAATCGGCGTGAAAGTGTTTCTTTTTTAACCATCTTCAGTGGACTTAACTAACCTCCATATCTTTCTCCACGCACTTCGCGGTAAGCTCTTTGTTGTGTGTCTCCGATGCCAGCAGTCGTTCCTGCAGGTCGGTGATCTGCTCCATCTGCTGGTCAGCTTCCCTCTCCAGTCGCTGCGATACACTGGTGGTCTCTTCCACGCGACTGCCCAGCTCGGCCACCTGCCGGACGGACGGGGAACTATAGGGAGCACGCACTGCGTATCTGCTAACGTTGGTTGTCATTGGGTTTACGCGGCAGCTTCAGTTCTCCTGTTCATGAGAACTTGGGATTGCGCCATTCGGATCACTTACCGGCTGCTCGTGGGAGGAACTTCCAGAAGTGCAGGGAGGGGTGGGTGTGCTTCGAAATCCTGAGAACCTCGAAACGAGCAGCATATGACCACTGTAGTTGTACCGTATCTAACTCCTGACAACTCATAAAAACACCGAAACAAATTTATGTAAACCCCACCCCATACCACCTTAAAGACATATCCGACCTTCTTTCACCATTTACGCTTCATCCTTCTTGCCTGGATCTCCGCAGTGTCCCGTCTTTCCGGTCAAACTGCATGCATCAGCCGTGAGCGGGCTTAAGTACACCCGCTGGCGGGAGCCCCTCCTGGCCGCCGCAGAAACCTACAGAGCTCACTGTGCAGGCAAGTCTCGCCCCGGAGGACTTCTAGATCCGCGCCGTCTTTCCCCACCTCTATCAACTCTCCTTCGCCCCATAGCGCAGCAAGGCCAGAGCGAACCGAAGGGGCTCTAATTCTAAGCAAAACCAAAATTCTGCTGGAAGTAACCCTCCACTGGGTGCGAAATCCCCTCATCACAGTGATGTACCTGGTTCCGGGGACCTTGTCGAGAGCTCGCACCTTCCTTACTTCGGCGCCTCCTTTTCATACGCACCTCAGCCTGCAGCATCTCGTTCTGCTTCTTGAAGGCGGCTCTCTCGCCGTCGGCCTGGGCCAGCCGCTCGCCGACGTCCGCCAGCTCCCGCCTCGCCGCCTCCAGCTTGGCCTCCAGCCGCGCCAGCGTCTCGTCCTTCAGGGCCACCTCGTTCCTGGAGCTGGCCAGGTGGCCCTGCAGGTCGGAGATCAGCTGGGCGCGCTCCTCCAGCTGTCGGGTCAACAGAAGAGGTCGGGGTCAGAGTCGAAAAGAAGGGCCATGAGTTCTCCCAAATGCTATCGGCTGGGGTGAATCTACCGTCGCCGGCGTCCCTGATATAGTTGATGCTGGTGAGGATGAGACAGTCCCAGGTAATTTTTTGTGGTTTTACGACGCACTTGGCAACTGACGTTTTATGACATCGCCTGCCTCTCACGTCGGCGGGAAGGGCAAGCACCGCGGAGAATCGAGCCCCGTGTCCCCAGACCCTCGTGTCCCCATGCGATGACGTCAGCAGACGGGGAGCGCCACGTACCTCGTTCTGCAGCCGCCACGTCGTCTGATTGGTCGGCTGTGTCTGGACGGCGGACCGGCGCTGCATGGACTGGGGAAGGTGGCCGTTGGCCTGCTGCGGCGCCTTGCTGACGTCACACTCGGAGATGACGTCAGAGTCGCTAGTGAATGCTTCCCGGGGCGATTCGGCCACCTCCTGCAGCGCAGCAGCAGACGGGGTCAGGGCGAGTCACGAGGGGGGAGCGAGGTCACTGACTGGCGTGGACCAAAAATACAGTGAACATGCTGCGGAGCAGGGCTGACAATGACTCCCGCACCAGCACCCCATTAGAGAGCCATTATTTTGGTAATGCGGCGTTGAAAGTCTACATTACGACACCATGTTGACGTTACATGCTTACCTGTACTGATTTTGACACGTTCGAAACATCAACCCTCAAACATTGTGAGCATTTTGGTTCAGCAGATAGACTGTTCAACCGAATAATTTCAAAGAAACATGCCATGTGAGATAAAAGGCAAAGTTCTCGGGTTCGGTGTAGCCGTTTGGTTCCCAGAAATTCTCCTACATCTAAACGTTCAAAAGCCATCTATCAACCTTGTTCCAGTTTGAAAATATCTGCTCATCTGGGCTCCTTGGTTTTCGAGAGAGGCGATTCCCACTGACCTCTTTCTCATCGACCTGTTCCTCCATGACCTCCATGAGGCGGACCTTGACCTTGGCTAGTTCGGCTAGGGCCTGATTCCGCTGGTCGACAAGGTCCCTGCAGTGTCCGCTGCAGGCGGTGAACCTCCGCAGGTGGCTCGACCTGCCGGCGCCAGAGGTCGCGTCACAGACGCTGACGATGGCCCTCCGCAACTTCAGGTCCTACTGGAGATAAGCGTGTGGCCACCTCTATTGAGAAATCCCGTGACCAAGGTAAGAAGTAACAGTTTCTCGCTGGAGGGATTACCAAAATCGGTTCGGATATCACGGCCGCTTCCATCGAGAGCAACACTTCCTAAACCATACGGATCTGATTTGCTGTATTATTTTCGGTTTGAACTGCATTGTAGCAGCCCTCCTCTCCTCTTCCACCACTGTTAACCAATTAAACGCATTAGGGTCAATAAAACAGCATCGCATACCCCGTGTAAAAGTGTGCTTCAAATTAATCTTCTTAGTCCGTCGGACAAAACTCCTAAGCTCATTAAAATAAACTCCTTGCCCGTCAAACTAAACACTTCGGCCCGGTGACCAAACTGCTCAGCGCGTCAGCCCAAACTCCTCGGCCGTCAACCCATGTGATACGCCCCTGCCGCCGACCCCGGATGGGGCTGACCTTGTGCCTGGGGCCGGCTGTGGAGGGCGTGGCGGCCGGCGCCGACCTCACTCGGTCCAGTGTAGATTTGAGATCGGCGACCTCCGCCTGACTCTCCTCCAGCTCACTGGAACGGCGCCACGGGTCAACACAGCCAGCCTCTGCGTGACGGAAACTGACCGGCACCTGACCCTCCTCCACCTCACTGGAACGGCGCCACGGGTCAACACAGCCAGCCTCTGCGTGACGGAAACTGACCGGCACCTGACCCTCCTCCAGCTCACTGGGACGGCACCACGAGTCAATGCAGCCAGCCTCTGCGTGATGGGAACTGACCGGCGCCTGGCTCTCCTCCAGCTCATTGGAACGCCACCACGGGTCAACACAACCAGCCTATGCGTGACGTGAACTAGTTTACGACCTGGAGAATCATTTGCATCGTCACAAACAGTATGGAATCAGGAGTACTGGAGCTCCTTTGAGCGCGTTTACACCAAGTATCACGCCATTCTGGAGTAGGCAACATATAATGCGGAGGATCTTCCCACGAAGCTTGGCATACCACATAACACAACACTTTTTTGGAGGAACCGCATGGCGTTCACAGGCTCACCACTTCCGGATCTCCAGTATTTCTTGAAGGTCCTCCTTCTCTCGCAGCGCCACCCGCAGATCCGACTTCAGGCGAAGCAAGTGATCGCTGACATCTTCACCAGTCTGAGGGTAGAGTCATATGACACTAACTCCTCAGCTATGTACACGGGTCAAAAAGACTGACAATGCCAGCCCCATCGCATTAGTCCACTCACTTCTCGGCTGAAGCAGTAAACGGCCGAGTAAGATCCGAACCAAACGAAGAGATCACAGAACCATTTCTGAGGGCCATAAGCAGCAATGATATTTAACGTTCCCTACTATTTTTCCAGGCACAAATCGCCTCTTTTCTGAACACAAGCCAGCACTGCAGTACCATCCCACACGTACCACGGCGTAAAATGGGTCTAGAATCTGTTCAACGCTTGGACCCAATGAAGTCTTCAGTCTTGCTGAAACCACTATAAATAAACCCGAAGCTGACTTGCCATCGACTTGGGAGCCCGAGTCACTTGCACTCAACGCCGAGCCCGCACACTACAGCCTCACCGCTGCAAAACCTTTCCACCGAACTGGGGCAGCGTTCTTGCACACCGGCGCCAGCACCTCTCACCGGGCGCCGCCGTCTCGCACGCACCGACTCAGCTGAGGCGCGAGCCCAGTGGCCGACTGCTCCACTTGTTTAGATAAGAGCGGCGGCCGCACCACGGGGAGTGTAAAGGGCGTTAAGTACGTGGTAGTTTCTGTCGTCGCCGCCAGAGTTGAGCGTGAACGCAGAGGTTCTATACGCAGAACTCAAGAGAACGTGCTCCGCTGTCGCTTCCGGATGACAATGAAGTGTCAGATGTGCCGCAGGAAGCGGCAGTGACGAATGAACGACGACCGACGGCTGGTGCCAGTGGCGGTTGCCGGGTGATGGAGCGCCCAAAAGATCACCCAAGAGCACCCCCTGGTGTTCCCGGGTCAAGAGGGATAATCTTCGCCCGTCGCGAGCGGTCAAAGGGGCCTCGGAGGCACGCCGTATCTCGGCTCGGGGCGCGCTCAAGGCCGGGGCGATGCTGACCCCGCCGGTCGGAGCTCTCGGTGAATCGTTATCGAAGCGATCGGAAATGTTTGACGCAACCGTCACAGGACGGCTAGATAGTGGAGCGGCCATGCAGAACGAAGGAAACAGGTGGCCTTCATCACAAGGAGCCACGCAAGCCTGAGGTGTGATGCGTGATTGTCGTGATGAGCTGTTACTATGTCACGTTTTGCCCCGTAAGTCCAGTGTATTCAATCACAAAGAGTCTCGTAGATCCCAGCTATGTCAGGTACTGCTGGCTGTAAAGTTCGCTGACCAGGATTTTATTCTATGGAGAGCGTGGGAAACCACGCTTCGCTATATACCAAGAAAGACTGAAATGTCATGCTGCAAGTCCTATTTTGTGCGTTTGTGTCACAAAACCGCACGCTACCAACGCATGATTTATCACTTTCTACTATATGCCATTTGGGCCAGTCTCAGAACAGAGTTCTGATATCCCTGCTATCATATCGGCATTAGACGTCATGGACCGCTTCCCTAGCTGCATTTTTCAGACCCGAATCCTGCGTCGGTGCGGAACGAAATCTGCTTTATTTTTGTTATTAAGATGTTTATCATATTTTCCATGAAAAACAAAAAACAAAAACAAAACAATCAGGAACATCTGGCACATATGTATTCTTTAATGATGCCATACTGCGGGCAACGTTACAGGGTGTTGTACAATTACTAACATTGGAGTAGATTTCTTATGATGCTTTTAAAGGTAGAAATAACGTACCACTGGCTAATATCAAATTGCATATATATATATATATATATATATATATATATATATATATATATATATATATATATATATATATATATATATATATATATATATTCGTGTGTATATAAAAACATGCATGTGATTTACATGTAATATATGTATGCGTGTATATATATATATATATATATATATATATATATATATATATATATATATATATATATACGCACATCATCGAGATAATTGAAGTGCGACAACATAGGAAGGTCTGGATGACGACCGGGCAAATGTACTAAATATGCCATGTCACAAATACGCTGCAGCGTACCAGTCGCGTCACATCATCAAAAACGTTTAAGCCACTTATTTCTCTGAGCTAGAATTCGTCCACCTCGTTTACATTGCTGCAGGAGTCAACGTTAGTGCAACGCTACGGTTGCGGGCACGGAGGGATATTGCTGTAAACAGTGGGCGCAGTCCACCAGCAAACGTGCTGCCCCGGTGCAGTTTGAAACCATCGTCAACATCCGAACGTTTTCGGGCTATCCGACCTTTAGCGCTGTTGACAAGGTTCACTGACCTTAGCTGGTGGCCGAGCACGCTCGTCGGAGACCACTCCCTGCGGTGGCGGGCGGTTGGCGCTGTGCTGCCCTCTGCAACATAGAACATCTATGTTAGCGCCTCTGGTGGCCGGGATGCGGATGAATCGTGAGAGCAACGTCGGCGGTGCGGCACAGGGCTGCTGTGTTGAGCATTAGATGACGAGCTTGGAATGGGCCAGAACTCTGCTGTGTAACCGCAGAAGTGGAAAGCCGCAGCACGAAAGCCCCTGAATGAGTGGTGCCTCATGTTATGGTCTGCACCAATTTTACAAAAGAATTGCCGGAAATATTGGAAGGATTACAGGAACCAGTAAAGCGCGGTTTATCTTTTCGCGGGATGGTGGTGATGGTTAATCCAGCGTAAGCTCAGTTCCCTCATGTGTTAAACAAAATCACACCTATGCCTACAATACAGCGATAACCACCTCAGACTTACCACCGTCTCATCTAAACACAGCTAGAATTTATTACTATCTCTCCGAATCATAAAAAATGAAATGAGACAAAAGTTAAAAGTTAGTTAAAAGTGTAGTGCTTCCAAGGCCATGTTTAGACTTTCAACAGCTGACAAGCCCGCGTCTCTAACAATCCAGAGATTTCACTGCCCTGACCTATCAGATCGCGTACCCGCACACATACCATCAACCTCGTGAGCCACGAGAACCGCTTAACCGCAGCCCAGCATTGCATGCGCGGCCGCCAGGAGGCCACTGACCCAAGCCCGTCGCCGGCGAGCTCCACCTGTTGGCGCAACTGCTCGTTCTCAGCGGTTAGCCGGTCGACCAGTGACGTCATCTCACCGGCGCGGCTTTCGGCCTGCAGCCGGCCGGCCATCAGCTGCTGCACCTGTGGGGACGGGCGGAGTGGCATCAGTGACGTCATCTCGCCGGCGTGGCTCTCGGCCTGTAGCCGGTCAGCCATCATCTGCTGCACCTGTGGGGACGGGCTGGATTGACACCAGTGACTGTCATCTCGGTCTGCAGTTGGCCAGTTCTTCGCTGCTGCATCCTGTGAGAGCATGGAAAAGGGCAGGAAGAAGGGGCCGGACACCGCCATCTCGCTCGCGTGGTTTGGGACCGGCATCGAGGGGAGCATCATCGAATGACGCCATCTTGCTGTTTCGCGCCTCTCTGCCACCTGCGAACAGTCGGGCAGCACGCTGGGCCTGGGACCCTGTGGACACAGGTCCTGCGCCCACACCAGTGGCTTAGCGGGGGAAGAGAGACGTCAGTGACGTCAGTGATGTCACTCAGGCTGCGGTTGATCAGCCATCCCCTGCCGCGCCTATTGCGTGGCGGGTGGGGAGTGGGACCAGTGACGTCACTTGGTCTGCGGTTGGTCAGCCATTGCCTGCTGCACCTGTGGCCTGGCGGGCGGGGAGTGGGACCAGTGACGTCACTCAGTCTGCGGTTGGTCAGCCATCACCTGCTGCACCTGTGGCCTGGCGGGTGGTGGGTGGGACTAGTGACGTCACTCGATCTGCGGTTTGTCAGCCATCGCCTGCCGCGCCTGTGGCCTGCCGGGCGGGGAGTGGCCCACGTTCGCAGCTGCGGCGCATGTGTGAGCTGCGGTGCCAATGGAGCGTAGCTGGCCTCCGTTTACGCCGCCTTCGCACGGTGCAGCAGTGTAGGTCATGGACAGCACCGTAGTACCAATGTCCCTCACATGTCTCAACAGTTTACGGCTGTTTCAGAACAAGGTTGTCCACCACGTCAGATACATACCTTCTCATCATTATCACGAATAAACCTTTCCTGATGAGGCGCTCGCCATTCGAACGTCTTAAGTTAGTGTGCTGTTATTGGGTTTTTAAGGAGGCATCAACGGCATTGCATTTTACGGCCAACATGCATATCGTTAACATATATACCGCACATATATGTGCGTTGTGTACACATCAATAAGACTCTAAGCCTCCCGCTGACGCAAAACACAGGGCAACGCACAGCACCGTTGCCGGGTTGCAACGGACTCGGCCCGTAAAAACCAGACGTGAGGCAGAGCCCATACACGGCAAACCGAGAACGTGAGATCCGCCGCCGCCTCTGGCACGTACCTGCCGCTGTAGCTGGTGCAGCTGCAACATGTACTGCTTGGTGCTGGAAGTGGTGGAGACCAGGCGGCTCTCCAGCATCTCACAGCGGCGGGACGCCTCTGCCGGAGGTCGACACCCGGTCATCATCGAGAGCTGGGGAGCAATCCCGGCCCCACCAAGAGCCGGGGAGCGATCCCCGGCACCACCGAGAGCCGGGGAGCGATCCCCGGTCACCACCGAGAGCCGGGGAGCGATCCCCGGCACCACCGAGAGCCGGGGAGCGATCCCTGGCACCACCGAGAGCCGGGGAGCGATCCCTGGCACCACGGAGAGACGGGGAGCGATCCCCGGCCACCACCGAGAGCCGTGAAGCGTTCCCCGGCACCACCGAGAGCCGTGAAGCGATCCCCCGGCACCACCGAGAGCCGTGGGGCGATCCCCGGCACCACCGAGAGCCGGGGAGCGATACCCGACATCAACGAGAGCTGTGGAGCGATACCCGGCACCACCGAGAGCCGTGGAGCGATACCCGGCACCACCGAGAGCCGTGGAGCGATCCCCGGCACCACCGAGAGCCGTGGGGCGATCCCCGGCACCACCGAGAGCCGTGGAGCGATACCCGGCACCACCGAGAGCCGGGGAGCGATCCCTGGCACCACCGAGAGCCGTGGAGCGATCCCCGGCACCACCGAGAGCCGTGGAGCGATCCCCGGCACCACCGAGAGCCGTGGGGCGATCATTGGCAGTACGCCTTTCACGGACCTCGCTGCCACATACAGCACAGGACGTTGATTCGCTGCAGACCATTGTCGCCGAAACGGAAGGGCCTGGTAGTGGTTTTCCTCGATCGGTAAGTCAACCACCCAACGTTAGAAGAATTAATGTCTGGATATCAAAATTTCATGGGCGCTGCAACATCGGGATTGACTTTGCAATCGACATTGCCTCCCTCCATACCCTGAAAAAGTGCCGCTACCAATGCATAGTAGTTGGTATGTATCGGTAACCAATGGTTCATTCAAAACAGGGCTGCGCTTGCACCTTATTTTCGAATCCTGACGTGAGCAACAGGAGCAAGAAGAACAGGAGAGCAACAGTGAAAGAATGAACTGCGACGTACATGTCGATTCTGCATAGGACCGAGTCGCCCGTCCTCATTTTTTGTCATTGTATTATTCAATATTTCGATGCAGATATCAGAATCTGTGTTCGACTCCTCGAATTCGAATCCGAATCCAAATCCAAATCCACTTCCCCTGGGATTCGAATTCCAAACGCTGCAAATACTCAGCCCTGACTGCGTCGCCTTTAACCGCTAACCTGTTTGCCCGCGAAATATCATAGCGCCTCACGAGTCTCACAGTAGCTATTTCACAGCCAAAGCAGGCCGCGCCTCTCTGACTGTTCTGTGCACAGCGGCGCAGCTCGGT